TAAATATTACTAACGTGAAGAATAAAAGATGCCTACGTTTGAGTCGATTAGAATCATCTCAATCGTTTCTCCACCGGCTGCAGAATACTGCTTCTACAAACGTATGGTCTTCACCCTAATCTTCCACATAGACTTGAACGGTTTCAAATCCGACACAGCGGTAATCGAAACCATTATAGAAGAATGAGTGAAAAATGTCTAGGTTTGCATTTAGGTTATGAGTAACAAGATGAGAAACATGAGTCTTATATAGCTATAATAAACCTAATGGAAGTTACGCTGTATTTCCAATAAGATAATTTAATCTAAATATCCTTGCCTTGGTCAGCTTCTACCACAAGAATGTAAATATTTCCGTAAACGAAACTTTTAAAATTTATGCAAATCTCCTATCATCATTACTAGAACTTCCCAATCGCTCAAACGAAGCGAAATCGTTTCTGTAAAATTTAACGCAAGGTTTCAAAATCGGAGTTACAAAAACGGGTGAAATCCGGTTTAAATGTTTAAACCAAATGAAAAAGGGTTTAAACAATTTCGTAAGTTTTGTATGAAAGAAATACTCGTGTACCTGTCGTATAAAATCATGAACGTATAGAAACAAACCTATATAACGTAGGGAAGTTATGAATGCTTCTTCTATGTCTAATGTGTTAGAATTAGAGATTAAGAAAGTATTGTTGCTGGAGAATGAAGAACAAATAATAGAGAGAGAGAGAATTTCGTGAGTTAAGAAGAATAGAAGGAGGAAATATTTTCCTTAATTAAATCAATGTGCATTACAGCAAGACAAGTAGGCTAGTGGCCTGAAATAAAAATAATTAAAAATAATGCAAGTTGGTACACAACGGTCAAATGCACGTGGGAAGAGCAGAAGAAGAGATTTTGAATTTGCCCACATGGTCACCTTCCATCATGGTCAAGCTTTGCACCCATGGTCATCGTATTTGAGGTTGACCATTTGGTCAAGCTCCTCATGGTCACGCTTTGCACCCATGGTCATCGTATTTGAGGTTGACCATTTGGTCAAGCTCCTCATGGTCACGCTTGCACCAATGGTCATCTTATTTGTAGTTGACCATATGGTCAAGCTCTTCA